ATAAATATAATAAAACAATTCTATTGATAAAATCAATAAAATATTCATGAACACAATATTACAATAATTAGTTTTTTAATTCTGGAAATATTTTTTATTTAAACATTTGTGATAAACTATTATCGTAAACACTCTAGTACTAACTTTAACAATATTTGATTTACTTCGGTTTTTAAGTATTCGTTGAATCTGTTTCCAGCTTTTTGTGTTGACATGGAAAATAAGTTCAGAATTTTTTTAAGAAGTGAAAAATTATAAAATGGATCATTGTAACTATGTCTGTACCTAGGTATTATAATATACATTCGTTTGTTTCGAAATGTAAAAATTGTTATTCTTCTGCACATTTTAAATACGAGTACATAGTTCTTATTTATACCATTGTGATCTGATTCACGAAATTTCGAAACATTTAATTCTATGTACCTACCTATGTTTAGATGATAAATATCAGGAAAACTTAAATATATATATATACACAATGTACTCTTGATTATCCACGGAATAGGGTGGTAGCCGGTAGGACATCCACTGATAAACGAATTCGTCGGATAATCCACAAAACATTCGAGAATCTAGTATTAAAGGAACATAACATAATTTGTACATACATATGTATTAATATTAAAGATTTTACGTCGTTATTAAGTAATCGGCTATCAAAAATAATCACCCAATGAAACCGATAATGATTTATAGTATAAATATATGTGTGCGTATATATATTCTTTTGTATGCACATAGGTATGTAGATGATTCCGGACAGCGGATAATCAAGAGTACACAGTATATATATAATTTTTCCACTTAAGCAAATCGAAAAACGATAGAAATATAAATTAATTTCAATCCGTGCGAAGTCGGTAATACAGCTGGCTTATAAATAAAAATTATAATAATTATGTTGATATTATAATTTAAAAATTGCATATCCATGGAAATCCGATACTCACGCTTCCGTTCAAGGATTGTACTCGATTCGGTCTGGAATGGAGGGGAGCAAAGGAGGATGACCCCGGGGCCCATGACCCACGTATATGTATAAGGGGCTATTGTCTTCCTCATACCTATTATATCAAGTGGTCACTTATACTTTTTATAGTTTACAATTCCACAGTGTAAGACAAACTAAATGAAAAGAAATCTATACCGCTATGCTGTAGATTGTGTGAAATAGTACTTATTCAAAGTATCACTCGTTATCAGACCCGGTCAAAAATGTCCACACACAAAAATGTTTCGGTTTAAAATTTAAATCTGGCATATTGTATAAAAATGGCAAAAAGAAAATATGGCCAAATACAAAAATGGCCGTAACAAGAAAAATTTGTGAACAATAATAATAATTTATAGTATGGGTCTAACAGTATACATATCCCTGCAGAATTATGTGGCTTCGGGCTTGGAGACTAGGTTCTACAAAACTGAACGAAATCAAAAACACTACTCTAGCATGGCCCTCTCCACCGAACATATCTAGGAAAACAGAAACGGCAATCAACAGAATGCGAATTGGGCACTCATCGTTGACTCCCCAACACCTGATGAAGAGGGAAGACCCCCCTATCTGCACAAGCTGCGGCACCCAGCTCACAATCAAACATATCATCACAGAATGCCGCCAATATGACAGAGAAAAACAGGAAGCAGGAGTACCCCTCATTCTCGCCGAAGCCCTCCAGCCAGCCAACATTCAAAACACGATATCATTTATAATCAATTCTAATTTAATTAACCTTCTGTAAAATAATTTGTATATTAATATTAAGCAATTACCTTCCTTTGTAAACCCATAAATTTGTAGTAGCCAATGGCCCTAGATGCCGAGGCTTTTATTAATAAAAAAAAAAAAAAAAACATTTACCTATTTGAAAATTATATGCAATTTTCAACTGAGATTTTAAGCCATTATACAAATAGTAGGTCATTAGAGGTGAGTCGAAATAATCGAAGTTCGAAAAATCAAATAGAACTTCATGTGTTCGGTTTGAGTTTAAAGTCGAACCAGGTCTTACGAAACCGAACCGAACTCGAAAAAAAAGTTCGATATTTTATAATCAATTTAAACTTTATAATAGTTAAAGCTCCAAAATAATTCCAACGCGTTGAACGTTTGGAACCAAAAATATTCTAGGTGTTTAATAATAATTTTTTATTTTATCTATTATCTATTACCTATATCCCATATTCTGTACTAGTTTATTATGTGGAGAGTTGAATGTTCGTTGTACTGCATTATTGATTTATTGATTATTGTTATTTTTAATATTAATGATACAAAAGTAAAATTAAGACCACGATACTGTCTGGGCATCGATTATTTTTTTGTGCCATTGAATTATTTATGGACTTACGTAATTATTTTGACCTCGTATTATGTTTATAATTAAAGTTCTTAACTCGCTGAACGATTTTTAAAGTTAATATTGATTATTGTCATTCATAAATCATTAGGTATCATTTATAACATTGGTCTTTACTCGTTAGTCTTTACCCGATACAATACGTCTGATTAGTTATCAGTGTTATAAACGTTGTTACTTATGACAGCGGCTATTCGCCTCGAGTTCGACATCACACTGAATTATTCGGTTCGAAACACGATTAATAGGCTCGGTTCGGCATAGTATTAAACGGTTTGGTAAGTTTGGTTAACCATATCATTTTGAGTTCGACCACCTATGCTAAAATCCACGTTATATTAATTATCGAGGAACTAATAGTAATACAAAATAAACTCTAACCAAATGTACAATGTACGTCAGTGATAACCGTCAACCATTTTAATAGTCCCTATACGTTTTTGAAACTGCCTCCCGATTTATTAAATAAATTGCGTTTTGCAAAACGCCAGTGAATATAAAATGTAATATTACTTGTGTTGAGTTGTTTGTGTGGTATGTGTATAACTACCATCAAGACATTATTGATTTTTATTTTTATTCGACAATACCACCACAGCTAAAGTTAATAATCTCGACATTATGGAACTTGAGAAGTACGACAGTGGGATAAATATTTGACTTGACAGTAATAAGGCACGACGTTATTTTTATTGCTTTTCCTGATGTGCCGGTTTCCAGATCGTATTTCGTTATATTAAAAATTCTAAAACGTTATCTTAGATATTAAATCCAAGCTTCTTATAATAATCAGAGTGGTAAAGTAATCACGTCAATAATAATGAAAAAATTTCAACTATAGTAATTTCGAGAAATTCTGAAATCTTATGTAGCGTATTACCGTCTATGTACAATGTACATTGTACATGTACATAGATGCAAATTTTCATAAAACCAAAAATTATCTAAACATAATATAAAAATGTAAAATATGTAATATTAATATATTGAAATATTTTTTAAATCCATTGATGACTTCGGATTATTAATTTTAATATAGTCTGCAATTCAAAAAAAAATTACACTACATTTTGATATCCCATATCCACTAATAATTAATTAATTGTCCACTAATTTTTCTGATATTTTCTCAAAGCCATTTATTAGTTTGCCCATATTTTTCTATAGCCATTGTTGTGTATTTATAATTATTTAATACAACTTTTATAATATTATATCAAATGAAACCTATATAAGTTGTAAGTCATTTCATTACTTTTATTTAGTCATAATAATCTCACATCTATTATCAAGCATATTATGCATAGGTACTGCAATGTATATAATATAATCATAATTCATAGGATATCATCATAATATGGCCATATGGGTCTATAGTCATATATGGAATTTCTGATACCAAATTAGCAACTTATATATTACATATAAATTATAATCATACAGACATGGATTATATACATTAACCATACGTGATACGTCTATACACTGTGACTTGTGACCTTTTACTATTTCCCTACCAAAAACAATTTTAAAAAGAGTTTAACATATTAAATTAAAACGTTCTCGTGTTACTTGAATAATTTTTTTATAATACCGTACCTATTTGCAGTGCCGCAAAAACCAGGTGTGCAGAGTGTGCGGCCAACACGGACCTCAATGATTACATACATTTGGGGGGCCCCGAGCCCAACCTCTAGCAAACACTAAAATTGTCTTAAAACGCAAAACTTAATTATTCACAATGCATTTTTTTTTTTAAGTTGAAACATTAGTGTAGTTGTAGGTAATATGTATACAAATATTAGATTAAGTAATAAGGATGTTAAAATAGGATGATAGGTTTAGAAAAAATTAACCTATCAAGTATTCAAGTGTCAACATTTCTTAATTTTTAAGTACTATCAATTTTTCCATAAGATCTATTTTTATCGCGTCTATGGGTCGTTATTTGTCGAATTGTCGGAAGAACAACAGGCTGATAGCGGAAAACCACGACGGTTGACGAGTGACAACGTACACAATATGTATAGGTATTTAGTCTTTTATATATATATATTATATGTTAACCCATGTCTTAGTACCTCCACTGGGAGGCCTCTGAAATCTGTTTAGTCTGCCTTTTTATTTTTATTAATTTTCCTTATTCTTATTGTTCCCTTTGAAACAGATTGAATAAAACAAATGAACCAAAAAAAAAAAAATATATATATATATATATATGTAGGACGTAGGTATACTCAAAACCTAAAAACGTTGGCACTTATAGACTGTAATAGTTACAGTAAAATTAATTTAGGAAGTGGCCCAAAAAAAGTATCGCACACGGGCCCCTTGCCCCTGCGGCTATTTGGATATTTATTTAAATATCAAATCATACTAATTAATAATATACAGATCAAAAGAAATTTGCTTTGAAAAGTTGAACATTTTGTTTGCTTTCCTAAAAAATATATTATTGTTATATTAGTTTAGACCATAAATAAATACAGAAATAGTCAAATAAGTAGTCATGGTTTAAACCAAAGATGGAAATTTATACACAGTTACCTATATACATAAAAACAAGCATATTACTGGTATTTTTATATTGTTTATATTTAAAGAAAAATTTACATAGATAAACAAAATATTATTTTATTGTATTTTATAATTATATATAATATAAATACAAATTAGTATATTATAGGTACACCTTATTGCCACGCAGGTATGTATACAGGAGTGTACCATACGTATACTCCGTGATTCTAATATACATTTCTTAAATTCAACTTTTGAACTTTCGAACACGATGCACTGACCAATTTTTCGACCATCTGGTGTATGTGTTTATCGACGATACAAAAGTTTGCGAAAATTGTCAACCGATCCAAAGCGTAGGGATTCTGTAATCAGTAATCATACAAACGTGACGTTATTATAATAATGTACCTGTATATGGCAAACTACTCCGCTCACCTAAGTTTTAAAATATAGGTATAAAATAAATAATTGATTTACGTTTCAAAATTCAATTTCTGACCTATCCGATATATTTCCATATAGTTATAATATTTAGATAATCTTAAAAAATATTTTGCCTCAGAGTTCGGAGTATGAAATAAAAAATATATAAGTAGTGTCCTACCTACTGTCGTTTAAAAAAGTAAACAACTTAAAAATAATTATGATAAGAATTAGGAAATTAATGTCCTTCAAAAATGTTATTTGGCAATGATTTCAAATTATGTGAAAAAAATATTTTCAAGAACGTTAATAGTTGTTAGCAAGGGTGTTCAACGATAAAATAATATTCATGGAAATCCTCAGAAACTATTCAGCTTCAAAATATGAAATATAAATGTAAATATTATCATAGTACCTATATCATTCAAAAAAGTAAAAATAAAATATTTGTACTGTGCTTGGCCCTTGGACATTGATTGGCGGAGTTAGCCAACAGTGTGTGATGAAAATCAATATCGAACAACGGGAATTCAAGTAAATGAAAAATATATTTTGAAGTTTTAGATTCTGAGAGTAGCTATGAATGTACTTATGTACCTATTGTATTTAAAGTATGTTTTCTATCTCAGTCATCAACATTTTAGTAGTTAAAATGCTCCGATTTTTGACATAAACATCGCGTTTGGGAGGTCAAAATTTATAATTCCCAGTTAGTTTTTGAAAACCTTGAGAGCAAAAAAAAAAAAAATAATGAATGGACATTTTTACATAAAACTAATTTTTGACAAAATCGATTTTATTTTTTTGGTGTAATTCAAAAACAAATAACTGTAGATACTTACTCCTTATTTTTATCAAATATCTATATTAGAATTTTCGAATTTTGTTAATTTTTGTAATTATTGTCGATAAAATTGTTCACTCGATTCACATTCATTACAATTACTCGACAACTAACGCGGAGCGGTTATAGATACTCTTGTCCACCTTTTTGTTACTATCGAAACTATTAAACTATATTATTGTAGTTATATATTATACATTACGCGCATTTTAAGAGGTCACGAGTCTCGCTCAAGTATATGATAATAGTAATTTTTGTACATTTATACCCATGTAAGGTTTATAATATTACGATTTTATAGAAGTATATATAGTAAATAATACATCGTATAATACACAATAATATATGACAATATTAACCATAATATGGCCGACAACCTGCAGGGACTCACGAAACTACCGTCCAATATTCAAGTGTCTTGTATCCCCGGGATGACACTCAAAGGAAATATATTATTCTGACAATAAAATAATGATATGTAAACGAGACCACAATTTACACACACGATCCTCATCGTGTACGCCCTCGAGGTGTGAAACGTGCACCCACGAGGCCACAAATGACAAGTCATAACAAGTACCGTGTGAATGTTTCATCGGAGAGCACTCGTTATTTCAAAAACTATTGACGTATTTCATGAAAATATGTTTTTACATAATTGTAAGTCGTTACAAAAAAAAAAACATTTTCGAATAAAAAATTTATATTTTTACTATTTTTTTTTCTGTTGTTTTTTTTTAAGTTTTAATTATTTTTTTTAATGACACCACACTTGCAACTATACGGGTACATGCTTTACCTACTTGTTAGTATCGTCGGTAGTCTGTACCGATTCAATTCTAACATTATACCTACCTACCTTTCCGGTAAACTTGTTAAGCTTGACAAGTGTTATTAAACATAGGAGTCGTCGGGCACAATATTTGTGTAACAGCTTGTTTTAAAAGTTGTCGTTTTATGAAGTTTTAACGAGTAATATAAAATCACAAACCACTTATATTATGGTAGGAATATACGTACCCGTGGCAAAGAAAAGCAGCTCTCCGTAATTTTATTTAGAATACTTCTGTAACACGGGAATACGTCTAGCGAGAGGTCTAGATGATTGGGTTCGTAGAAATCGCCGACTTTACTCTTGATTTCCGGTCTGGCCTTCACTACCTTCGAATAAATTGTCCTGAGTGCTGTGTCGATGATCAACCTCATCTAAAACAATAATATAATAAACTCGGAACGAGATTGCCGAACATCAACAAAACGATTAATTATTATTATATTATTTGAAATACTTCGTTGTTCAAACGTGATTCTGTTGACAAACGACGTCTCTCCGAGAATGACAACTCGTGGCTCGCCAATTGTTGTTGTACTGTATTTTCTCTCACGTTTCTACTGGACACCGTGTTCTAAATTTTGCGAATAAATTAGTGTAAACGTAATGTGCTCCCTTATAATCGTTGATATCAAATATATATTATATAGGTGTTATACCTTTGGCTCATTCGTTATGTCCATTATTGGCTCGGCCGAAAGATGTGTTTTGCTGTGTGTCTTGTAACCAATGAACGCGGACAGCGGTTCATGGCCCGTTTTGAAATCACCGTACACCATGACGTTGCTTTCGGTGACGTTGGTTCTGCACTCCTTGAAGTCATGAAAAACGGTTCTCTTTCTTGTCGAAGGTTGAGATACCGTCTAAACGACATTTTTAAATATTAATAAATAAATTATGGTAGTTTAATCAAAATGTTGTGTATGAGGATTGAGGAGCTTAAACCCAAAAATGTCATTCAAACCCTTTAAAAACTTTTGGAAAATATTTTAATAAAATATTTGTATTTCAGATTTACAAATCTTGTAAATAGAAAATGGTGGTAAATATATATATATATATATATCATATTTTCCGTGAACAGCTTGTGTCAACGCGAATAACAGTTCATGTCACCCACAACGCTCTAATTTTTTTTTTAATTTCATCACTGATTTCTGTGATTGTGGGGATCAGACTACCTATCGGAATATTTGAACTTATGGCTATCCAATGTAAAAATTAATACGGGTATTTAAATTGAATATTTTATGAAATTTGAAGTAAAAAATTATTTAGATTTTTTGTGATTAATCTATTCACCCAAAACAAGAAAATCATCTATATACAATATACATAAGCATTATTATGCAGATGGATTAAAAACTAGGTACACTATTATTTTATCACATACTGCGTCCCAGTTTTCCATCCATGTGACGCTGAACAAATCTCCAAGACACGTTTTGTATGGCCCAGATTGAGATCGACAGTAGCATCCATACGAATTTTCCCTGGGTCCTGATGCAGTTACGGCCAAAACTAATTTTAAAAACAGATTTACGAGTATACTTTTGGTTTTACATTTGATTGCGGAAACTAATTGACTTGGCTTAAATTCTAAACTATCATTTAGTAATTACTATAAACTAGGATATTTTTACAATTTATAAGACATTCATAGATTAAATGTTAAATTCGCTTGAATGGTTTATGAGCAAAAACAAATTGCACCAAAATCCTGAATTTCTTTACTTACCATCTGTGTTGTCGCGGAGTATCCCATCAAACATAGAACCTGCCTTGCATGCTTCAATGTACATCAACACCTATATCACCGGACATTAGACAGCATCAATTAAAATATAAAATTATAACAAATATTTTGATTTAAAGGAAAAAGTACCATTCTATAACTTGCAGATGCGTACATAGTTTTGAGAGCGTCGTTCAGTTCATCAGCGTATAATAAATCGTCTGGGAAACCTAATATTCCCGTGGTACCGTGATCGACAAAATTAATGAATATTCTGTCTCGCGGTCCTCTTTATTATACAACAAATTTCATAGAAAATATTTATATAATACACGTAAATGATAAATATATAAATATATATTTGATATGTTAATCGATACGTCTTAAACGTTATTGTGAATCAGAAATTTTGAAGAAAACACAACAATAATACATGCCTGGTTTTGCTTAGAATCTTGAAAATGTTAGTTTGTGTGTGTGAATCTATGCATAATTTTAATGTTTTTTGAACTTAGACTGATGTGTGGATGACTAAATTATGAATATGAAATATTCTATAAGTTATTATTATTGGGTACAAACGACAAACGTCATTCAAAGTAAAAAACGAATAGCAAAATAATGCATTTTTCATTGTGGTAATTTGTGTTTAAGTGGTATACTTATTTATATAAAAATGCCAATTATCCTAACCCGTGTATGATTTCATATTTTTCTTTTTCTCTCCTTCGAATGTAGCCATCAGCACATCATAAATAACTTATGATAAATAAAATTAGTATTCTAACTTATTCTAACACCAGACACTAAACATAGGACCGTAAAAAAATTACTCCCTCTAAAATTACCGCCCGGGGATCAATCCCAGTCTTCATTCCCCTAGTTCCACCACTGACTATAGTGATTTTCCCTGAAACCTTATAGAACAATTGTAATTTATTTTCTCCTAAGATGTGGCTTTACTTTTTACACTAAACAACATCTTAATATTGAATACATATTATACTTACCCTTCAATCACTTTTCCAGTTCCAATGAACTGCATGGCTTTTTTGTCACCAGTGATTATCTTCAAGAAATTTGTGCTGTTTACATCCTAATTAGGGAAAAAAACGGTAAAACTGTATACTATAGTAATATAGTTATTGAAACTGCCTTATATCTATATTCTGTATGTATTATATTTATATACCTAATTATTTGTTTCAAATAAATTAATAAAATTAAACCAGTTAAAGCTGATTGATCTCTAAAATCATTTTCTATGTACAATATTGTGTAACTTATAAACCTTTTTTTAAAATATGAAAATGTTTTATCCATTTAATTATATATATTTAGCCACAGCAGGCGCTCCAACTGCAGGGACATACTGCCAGCTTAGGTGTCGGTGACACCAGATTGATATCCGGACACATATATATCTTATACTCAAAAAGGTAAATATCCATTATCGGTTTAATCAATAACGGAAATGCAATAATCATGATGGCACTTTGTGTAATTGAAAAATCGGATGTCACAAATCCCATAATCTTGGAGGTTCTTATTATCGTATAAACTTCGGTTGCAGCCTTGCATTAATGGCCGAATAATGTGAAAAATATCTTACCGTCCCCTTGTAGTCGATAACAACTCCTTTGTACACGTCCGTTCCGTTGGGTTGATTAATTATCGTTCCAGGCACTGGATTTCTGTAGTAAAAGTCCAACAGAAACGTAAATAAACAATAGAAACTCTTGACACAATAATTTCAGTAAAAGACCAGTAAGTTGTAGGAGGAGGTGTTAAATATATATTTCCCTCCCTTCACGCATGAATGCACTCCGGCCATTCTTAATTAATAATTATGAGTAGGTTATGAAATTATATGCACTAAATTGAACAAAACATTTAAGTATGCACCCTCATTCATCATGCACTTAAATATATCAGGGTCGAATTAATTATCATTAAAATTCCCCACATTTTATCTCCAAATTAAATTGTTTGTATACAATACACATACAACTTCAAATTCGGTTTGAAATTTTTCTGAAACTTTTAAAATACATTTATATCACTGTCGTACAAAATTTAATCTCGGTACGACTTCACCTACATTTAGCAAGCTCGTATAATAATAATGAGCTATTTTTAGGTAGACATTATCAACAAGAGATTAAGCTAAGTCTTATGCGAGTAAAAATAAATATAAAACAATACAAATGTTATAAGTGTTAATATTGTACATGCGTGTACAAAATTAGCTAATATGCTTGGATTTATATGTATATCTATATATATAGCTTACTTATCTACATTTGTTAAGCTAATTAAGCTAGTTACAATGCCTACAGCACTATTTATAAAAATATTAATACTTATTTTGAATTCGTGCTATTTCTCATTGTCACTTTTTAATAAGCCATCGATTTAAAACAAACAATGGACAGAAATTAATTTAATTATTTAAACACGTGACTGTATTATACTCGTCTTAAGATTTAATGACAACTTATTATATATTATTAACTCTACAATATTATAATACTGATAATCTCAACTCTAAATATGTCTACTGCCACGAATAAAATATTACTGATATATATTTTTTTAGATGGAGTCTTACACATTTTAAAATTAGAATATATGATAATATTATAATATAGAGATGGTCGGATAGACTGCACAACTGGTCGTTCATTTTGAATGAACGGTGTTTAAGTCTATTTAGTTAGCAATAATATAACACATAAATAATTAGTACTTCTTATATATACTTATAAATTAAAATATTAACCTCGGATTGTTCGCAATGTCATCGACCATCATCGTAATAATATTTTCTTTCGGTATTCCGTTTTCTCGAACTATTTGGTATGCATGACATATGTCCGCCTAAGACAGTACATAATACATAATTGAATATATTTTACAATATCGACATAAGAAGCTTTTTCATGGCATAATGCACGTGTATTCGATTTCTTAGTCAAATCGAATGAACCATGTATAGTATTAAATATTCTAAAGTTAAAATCCTATACGTTTTGTACATTCAACCACTTATTATACATGCCCATTTGATTGTGTACTAATTAACTATAAATAAATTTGCTCAAAAATTTTAAAATCAAACCAAAAACTCACACATATTTTTAAACATTTGATATTGTATTCAAATATCATAAGAATATCTAGGTACTTCAATAATTATTTGTACATTTGAGAGTTTCTAAATAATATTATAAATATATATTTAAATATTCAATGAATATGATTCTATTAGTCAGTGATAAGTGATAACTATTTAGGTGCTCTTCGTTATGTGAATATGTACTTCAATTATTTTTAATTATTTTTTGTACATTTGAGTGTATAGTTATAATAATATTTACATTAGGTATACCTGCGTAATATATAAAATATATATTATATTATAATATAATTTACAGATAATATTTAATTACCTATCCGGACTATCCTAAGTAATTATATGGGTGTATATTAAAAGTAATAAAATCAACTATATTGTCATTGATTTCACCTATACATGCATAGGAACATAAATATATTTTATTTTATCCATATGCGTCATGGTTGTGAAATTCGGCTGTCGATATTAATTATTTTTTATCCCTTTTGTTTCGTAAGATATATATAATGTTATATAAGATAGGTTTTTACTTTTTTCCATTAAGAATAACTGTTTATAATTAACTAGGTATAAGTACCTACAATTATTAATGATCTGAATATTTTGGATGCATGTGTTGCGAATTTTTACCCGAACATCAATTCTGTGTTGACAATGTTGGCGACTGCCTGCAGTTTCTAAAACAGCAGTAGAACGTTCCTTTTCAACATTAAAACCCTTAAAAACATTATTTTGTAAAAAACTGGATAATATGAAAGTTTAACGAGACTTGCTCTTTTTTCAGTACACTGGGAAGATATAGATGAAATATTGGATACAATGGCCAAAAAATTAGAACATTTATATCACAGTCTTATGTAAATCCCCCCCCCCCCCCACAAAAAAAAAATAGCTAAATAAATAAAATCATGGCTACGTGCCTGAAACCATTTATCGACTATTTACCTACGGCTATATATTGGTATTAGGTAAGTACCTACTAATATACACTGCCGTCGAATCATGCCATTAATAGTATTAAATTAAATTATTCACACTTTCACTAAGCTATAGATAATGATAAATATTGTTCAAGACCTGATGTCTGTAATTGTTCCATCCGTCCGAACCGGCTACCAAAACCACCCATTTTTTCCCACCGAAAAAATTATTTGCACTTTCCGAATCAATACTCGGTTTCCTGTAACTGTATGGCACCTGTATAGCAGCTGATCCAATTGCAAATAATGCTAGTGACACAAAACTAAAAACTCCTGTAATAAAACAAACGGTACACGAATATATTATGATTAACATCTATACATTTGAATTGCATATTTCATATTTTCTTAAAAGCGTGTTAACTGATTACATCCTTAAAATGTCCAAGGGATGACTCATAGTTATAACAATGTCTATAGTTATGACTGCATTAGGAACGTGTCATAAATTTATTTATTTAAAGTACTTACACAATTTGGAAAATTTTTTTTTTAATGTCTGAAAAGTCCGTTTATACCCAACTAGCACAAGATATTCATGGTATATTCTATCAATCTTCCTTTTAATTATTATATTCATAATACTGAACAATATGAAGAAGATATGCGATGGATCGTTTTTTAAGATCATTACAACTATAAATATTTTATTCCAAGTAAAGTAATATTCATAAAAGAATAATAATTGGAGAATAATCTATAGCCATGATGTTACAAATAGTAAATTAATATTTATTTTGTAATAATATATTCCCAATCAATTTATCATAATTTATTTTAGTCAAATGTATGAATATTCTTAGAGTGATAACTGTATAATCCTTAATGAATATCTATTGAAAAATAACCTACAGACATGATGTTACAGATAGTAAATTAATATGTTGACTATTTTTTTTTAACTAAACAAAATGAATGCCTATTATTTAACAATTTTTTCCAAAATCGTATTATTATGTTTAGCTTTTTTTATCAAACAATCATAAAAAGTTTTTTTCTGTTTTTTATAGTACCTACTAAAAACTATATGAAAAATTGAAGTAAAATGTTAGTATGACTAGTGACTTGACATTTTAGATTCTAAGCGGAGCAATGAATGTTTTCGTTTTACGATGGTGTGTTATTTGCTTGTGTCTATTATTATTATTACTGGGAACATTAAAAATGCTTTAATTTTAAATTATGATGAGGACTGGAGTTTATAGTAGCACATTGTATCAGGTTGGTACTTAAATCAAAATTAAAAATTCTCAGTATTTTTAAAATGATCAGAAAAACAAAAACTTGATTTTTTTTTTGCAAAACCATTAATTCATCAAAGTTTAACGATTATAAAATTTTTATTAGAATTTAAAAATAAATAACTTCAAAAACATGAATTTTTTTTCTAAGAATAGACATTTAAAATTTTAAAAAAATTTGTTTTTTTCGATTTATGGATAGAAAAATTGTTATTATTAAGAAATAAACTTGAAAATTTAATACAAGGTTTGCCATACATTTTTTTATTGTATTTAAAAATCTTGAAAATCCATATGGTCAAGTATATTTTTATAACTATTTAAAGTTCAATTTTAACCAAATAATTCCTACAATGAAAGTATGCACATTGTATTATACAATATATTGTCGTTAAAAATTTATAAAAATCCTTAAGGCTTAAAAATTAAATCATTCACACTCTCACATAACTGAAAATTCGAAAAAGTTTAACATAAACAAACGAAAATTATTAATAAGCGGTTGAAGTTCAAAATTTGATGACATTAGATTTTCAAACTTATATGATAACGATTTATATTTTATTCCCAAACAATTTTTCTTGTTGTCATTCGTAAAATATAGGTACATCGTATGGTAAAAAACTTGAAGTATTAAACTATTTCTTCAATTTTAATGTTTTATAACAATTAAATACATTTTTTTAAACATTTAGACTTATAGTTTTAATTTATTCAAGAGCATTTAAAATATTACAATTTTTAGTTTTCTTTCTATAAACTATAAATGTTGATGACAAATGGTATGCGCAAAAAGTTTAAAATTGTAACACAGGGATTCTTATGACTCATGAGATATTCTATAACATAAACGTCATAAACCTCAAAATTTCAAAACACATATTATGAAAAAAGTTTGTATGTACATTTTAAGTTAACTTTTTGTCATTAGGTTCCTACGTCCTACATATTATATATTATTATTTACTATACATTTATACCTATGCAATGAAATTTTCAAAATATTTAGATTAATTTTAAGATCTAAATCGAATAATCAAAAGGACACACTCGACTACTAAAATACAGCAGAGCCACTATTTTCCCTGTAAAGATACTAGATACTCGAATAAAAATAAAAATGATGATATCCCTAAGTGAACAATAAAAAATATTTTATGTTCATAAACACTGAGAAAGATACTCATCATGGCATAATGGCAATACGGCATGCGATTTGGAAAAAGAAGTAATTCAACTTAAACCTAAAAATGAACAGATTTTTAAATAATAACGTGTTTTTTTTTTGTACTTGCAGGGTATCGAAAACATAATAATTTTTATACATATGTCTTGCAGGACAAAGATATTTTCATATAGGTAGATATGGTGAAATTTTGGTTGTTTAATTATTATATTGTCACTCACGCCAAATGGGTTTTAACAAACACAAACCATTTATGGACTTGTGGCTGCATCCTATCAAACAATTAAACTAACAATTATTAACATTAATTAAATTTGGGTCGAATCAGTCCGTATAAGAGCTTTGATAAATAATTAACTTTGACACTTGTGATTATTATTATTATTATTATTATCATAGTCGTGTTATAGTATGCATGTGCTGGATTAAGGTTTGAACTACCAATCACCTCCCATTAAGTACGTGACAGGCGCCTTTTATTTTTCTCAGATGAAAAGCAGACCAAGTTTGTACTGTCGTGACTATCAGCTTAAATAAATATAACCCGAAATAAAATATAATTTGATTACAGCTTGTGCCGGGCTCAATGTGTCAGAGTGTATGGGTCCATACTCGTACAATTTTATATAAATTTCTCGATGTGATGAGCTCGGTAAATATTACGGATAAAGGTAAATTTACCTTAATTTACTGTTGTACTGAGGTTTTCTTTACTGTTGTCAAAATCGAGTAACTATGTTTATGAATGTACTATTTAGATAGTCTTACTTTTACGTCTTACATATTATAACATTTAGGTGCTGGCGGTACTGTAATAAATCAAATTTACTGCGTAAAATGCAAATCACTTTTTTTTAAAAAAAAAATACTGTAGGTATTTAAACGACGAGTGATCAATATTACCTATAATCTATATCATTATTTATGATTGAAATTATAAGTAATTAGTTATTCATAAGTATTTAAAAATATACTTAATAGGTAATATATTTTTTTGGGCGGTGGTAAACTCTCCCGATTGTATGGTAAACTCTCCCGGTTTTTAAAACTAGTACACTCTCCCGATGGTAAACTCTCCCGGGTCAAAATTATGTTTACCTGAAGAAAATGTGTAAACTCTCCCGGGTCAATTTTAAGTTTACCTGAAGCAAATGTGTAAATTCTCCCGGGCAACATTATGTTTACCTACTTAAAAGAAATGTGTAAACTGTCCCGAGTTGTTTAAAATGTTATTGCCACACTATTGGCTACACTGCAGATATTGTAATTATCATTTTAAATATTTATTATCAATTGTATTACTGTTAACCTGTATTTGTAATTTAAATATTTAATTACCGTTAACCTATTTTTAATTTAAATATTTAAAACGATATTGATTTTAATAATGGCTCAACCAAGTTTTAAGTATGTTTTAAGTCAACGGGACAAAGAAGTGTTGATCATGTCCTCATTTATTTTCCATAAGCAATCAACACTATCATCAACTGGTGAAGTCAAATGGAAATGTAGTGTGAATAAATGCACAGCACTTATATATATTATTGGTATGTAATTACTAAATTCAATTGTATGATTATTGATTAGGTTTTAGGTATATAGAAATTGCTAAACTATTATACATAATATTATAGTTATAAATAATATTCATACATACATTTTTTAGATAGGGAAGTTGTCTCAAGATCAAATTTAGAACACAATCACGTTTCTAACGAGCAAAAAGTTCAACGTTTATGTATAACGCAATCGGGAAAACGAAAAGCAATCGAAAATATATCTGATGCTCCACGGAAACTATTACGTAAAGTTTTGCAGGAAAGTAATAGTGATGCCATTGATACCAGTGACTTATTAAGAATTAAAAGAAATATGTATAATGCAAGACGTAAACTTTTTCCAGCATTACCCAAAAATATTCAAGAAATTCATGATATACTGAAAACGTTTAAAGTAGAAACTTCAAAAAATGAAAATTTTTTGTTGTTAAATGACGAACATCATAATTTAATTATATTTGCATGCTCTTCAAATTTAAATTGTTTAACAAATTCAGAAACTGTTTATTTAGATGGCACGTTTACATATTGCACAAAGTTTTTTAAACAATTGGTGACTTTACACGGATTTATAAATGGTCATTATATACCATTAATATTTTGCTTATTATCAGATAAATCTCCCTTATCTTATGAGCGAGTATTCAAGTTTTTAGTTGATAAATGTGCTGAAATGAATTTAATATTTTCTCCTAAAACGGTAATAGTAGATCTAGAAAAGTCTATACATAATGCTGTTTTAAATGTTTGGCCTGAAACAAAAATAGAGTGTTGTAGATTTCACCTCACACAAGCATGGTACAGAAAAATCCAAGAGTTAGGCCTTTCTGTAGAATACAGAGATGACACTAGTGAAGTTGGAAAATGGCTGCATTATATTTTTGGATTAGTATTCATAGATCCAAATGAAGTTGGGAATGTTTATGTATTCACTTTAGCTGCAATAATGCCTCCACAAAACAAAAAATTAGAAACTTTTGCATCGTATTTAGTTAATACATATATTGATGAAGAAGCATCATATCCTCCAACAATGTGGGCCTCAGCATCATCATCAACTTCAAAAACTACAAACGCTTGTGAATCGTTCCATTCACATTTCAATTCATCTTTCTCTAGTATTCATCCATCTCTATTTATATTTATTAATGCCCTAACAGATTTTCAAAATGAAGTATACATAAAAATGCAAAGTTATAACAAACAAAATAAATTAAGTAAAAACTCTCATACAAAAAACAAAGAAAAAATAATAGCACAAAAAATAAAAGACTATACAGACAAACAAATAGATACCTTAAGTTTTTTGAAATCAGTATGTTCCTATTATTACAAAAAATAGTATTTTGAATAAAATATTATAATTGACTTTTTTAATGAAATTTTATGAAATTTATTTTATTTTTTGTATTTTGACTATAATTATTGACCATGGAAGTTAAAGGCATTGATTTTTATTATTACTATTATATAGGTAACTGACTTTTTTAATGCAATTTTGATTTTTAATACAAACTGAAAGTTGATGTTCTACCATTTATTATAATACAAATGTGTTTTTTGCTTATACTGTTACTTTTATTTTATATTTTATGTATAATATTTAATCTTGATGATGATTTAAAAATAAATTTCTGCTGCCACTTTTTTTTTACTTTCCATTACATTATGCGGATACATTTTAATTGTCAATGTGAAAGAAGTTATTAAAAAAAAAAAAGTTATATTGATAAGCAAAAAGTATGAAAGAAAATAAGTAAAAACAATTATACAATATTCTAACTTAAAAGAAAGTAAGTTTGCAAGGTGAGTACATATTTTATTTTTAATAACAATTACAAACGTAATTAAAAAATATAAATACAAATTAGAGACTAGACTACTATTTTATGGAGTCCGTAATCTGTACAAAACTTACTATTTTATAATGATAAATATTAAATACACAAATAATAAATGATATTGTGATAATAACGTATTATGATAACAGGCGACAGACTGAATTATTTTATATAGTGTTACCAACTGCGTAATACGAATAATGCCCATGCTCCACAAGTTATTGTAGACCCGGGAGAGTTTACATGTTCCCGTCAGGTAGTACTGAAGTCGACCCGGGAGAGTTTACATGGATCAATCAGGTAGTATTGGAGCAGACCCGGGAGAGTTTACATGTTTCAATCAGGTAGTATTAAAGCAGACCCGGGAGAGTTTACCATCGGGAGAGTTTACATGCTATTAAAATCGGGAGAGTTTACAATCGCCCATTTTTTTAGGTATTTGAAAGATAAAAATGGATGTATGTTGATATTGAACTTACGTTATTTCATACAAATTGAATAGCTTATTAATTCATGAATCATTTTTGGTTCAAAGCGAAGCAGGTGGACAGTAATTTTAACTTTTTAAGAATAGGTTAGGTATAGCCATATAGTAAAAATGGAAAATCATATTTTCGCAATACCTATGATGTAGGCAGTGGCATGGTGTCATGCAGTGATTGTACATAAAATGTTTGTAAAAAAATGTTTAACATTTATTTACCGAACTGTACTTACATTATCCGGCATTTATTTACCGAACAATTTCACATCTCTGAAATATATAATATGATGCCGATGTGTGTACGGTGTCGTGGGAACGAATGACGATTGAAAAATGTATCGATAAGTGTCAATCGTCAATGTGTTATCCTATACTTAAGAGGACGTTATACCCGCATGGGTTGTCTCCGTCTTACAAGTGCGTAACATAGCAAATTGTACACTCAGCAGAACACGTGTAGCTCCGTTAATTTAAAAATTAAAGTGAATTGACCTCTTATAAAATCTAAACTTAAGATTATTATCTAGGCAACCTCATAGGTTTTTTATTATATTTTAATTTTAACGCGAGTTATGAGTATTTTAACATTGTAAATTTTTTATTCATCTTAAAATACTCATAACTCGCGTTAAAATTAAAATATAATAAAAAACCTATGAGGTTGCCTAGATAATAATCTTAAGTTTAGATTTTATAAGAGGTCAATTCACTTTAATTTTTAAATTAACGGAGCTACACGTGTTCTGCTGAGTGTACAATTTGCTATGTTACGCACTTGTAAGACGGAGACAACCCATGCGGGTATAACGTCCTCTTAATAATATAATTTATACTTACCTAGTTCCCTGTAAATGTATATATAGTCTACACTCTACACGCACATACACACACACACAGCGTCAAGTACTCGGGGTCGAATTTAATCCTACTCGTGAGTGCGTAATTGCGTCTTAAGGCCAGTTTTTTAAAAATATTTTTTACTTTTGGTTTTATAATATTATTAATGACATAACGACACCCAAATTACCTATGTAACCCCACGCTGTTTAGCGTTGCACTGGATAACAGGTCGGTGGGTCCTAAACATCGGCTATTTGCGTTTGTACAGCGGCTCTAAGCTCTTAAAATCCCCTATAAAACTTACCCATGTCGTCGTCGTAGTCTTAGTCGCGGTGAATATTCGATGTCTATAACGGTAATGCGCGAATATTATAAATATTATGATATTATATTGTTGGATCTGTGCGATGTAGTCTCTCGCTCCGGTTGCGGCGGCGCGGGTTTAAACTAAATAATAACCGGCGACATATATAATCGTAAGCAGTATAATATACGAATATACCTCCATATACACCGACAATGTCGTCGCCGGTCGTTTGGGCGCACCTATATACATACGTATGTAAATAAATATAATTATCTTGTGTGAATAAAGATAATAATGCATAATAGTATACTATGTCGTATTATAGCTGTCGTAGGTGGGCCGAAGAGCGTTTCGCAATATTATGATAACATTTAATCGTGTTATTTTAATTATCATGTTATTATTCGATTGTCGATGGAGACGGCGATAAGTGAAAAATGAAACACCTACCAATCGAGTGTCGAGTACGTCTCCGCAGCACTCGATAAAAGTCTATACGTGACAAGTATATATTTGCCAAGTGCCTAAATAGTATAACGATGAATGTGTTAATTGAATAATGTGTTACTGTGTTAGTACCTATAAGATGTATAAGCATATTATTTATCTTATTTTGGAAATGCCAAACACAATATGTAGGTATCCACCTATAATATCATAAATTTTTTACTCATCGTCGTATATGAAATAATAGAGTACCTATATTATAATAAAATTACTAGGTAGGTACTTCAGGTACTCCAAAAACTCTCGTTTTAAACTGAATGCAATAATATATTATTATAGTGTTCAAGCCGAGAATATACAATAACATTCAATTACGAATATTAGTATGACGTAATAATGTTGTGTTATTCGCCATTCGGATTGTAACGTGATCGATTTTTTTTATAATTTGATGCCTATACGATATGGTTAAAGTTGATGGTGGAATAGTTAATAATGCACATTATTTAACAGTGACGACGATTATGGTAGTATAATAAAAGATAAATGGGTAAAGCTATTGCATAGTAATTTTGTAGCTATATTTTGTATGATATTAATTCAAAGTACACTTATTAAAAAAGTTAATTTTTTTTCTTTTCGGAGAACGAAAAGAAAAAAATAGCCAACGATTTTCGACCGCAGATAATAATAATAACAATAAGATCTAACGACTTACGATCACACTTTTTCGTTCCGAAAAATATTTTTTCAGTCACCACGCCAAGCCCGCTATAAAATCTGTGCAATAGCTTAATTGCAGTGGCTGAGAGTTAATATGCCAAAAGTTGTAGACCTTGGTAATTATATGACCGATGGTCAAACTCGCCAATGGCCAAACTCACATACAACTTGAAATTATAGGTTTACTGCATTACTGCAAGAAAGTTTTTTTATGTATTTCAACTTTTTAAGAAATATAGAAACACCTACTCACTACAGACTAATTGATTTAGTAGGTAGGTAATTAATACATGTTAAGTAAATATAATATAAATGTAAAGTAGGTACATAAATAAACAATACTTTTTTCTGTAATTATTAAAAGTAGGCACTAGGTAGTAACTATACTAGTGACGAATGGAATTTTGTGTTTATTATTACAAAATTCAAATGTTGATGAATAAACTAAAAATTTGGTTTTGATTGTTGATTTATTATAAGTCGTCTAACTATTATGAAATGTTTTAAATAATCTATTAGACCATATTTAGTCATTTAGGTAGGTATAGGTAGGTAAAATGTCTCAATAGGCATTTGAAGGGGGTATTAGGTACTTAAAAAAAGTTATAAGTAAATAACGGGTAAGTGGACCCCTCTTTGTTATACGGCCATAAGTGGGTTTCTAATGAATGGTGTTAAATTTGAATTCAATGATATAAAATCATTGAACATATACGAAAAACGATTCTGAGCGAAGACGGTCCGTCAGCCTATATAATACATATAACTTATAGTAACTCAGTATATTTGATGATATTATTGTGATTAAAGTATTTTATTTTACTATTCGGCAATAATTTCTGCAGTGAAACAGTAGGTTAAATTCATTTTCGCCAAAAAAATTATACTTGAAAAGTCGTTGTGTTTAAGAATATAATAATACACTCTAAAAGTTTCAAGTGCCCACGAATAATATTTTTAAATTACAACAAAATAACTTAAATCATTATTATTGGTTATTTAATATGAATTTTGTCCAAATTTGAACAAAAAAAAACAGTGCTAGTATATTTATTAGGTTTTTTGGTTACAGAATTAACTATTTGTGTAGATACAACTTTTAATTTTTAAATTTTTGATTCTTAGCAATTGAACATTTTATAAATATTTAACGGCAAAATAATTTTTAAATTATTAATTTAATAAATGTTGTGAAACTTTGAACTTTAAATGCTTATGAAACAAAATCGTGCATAAATAATAATATTAATAAATCAAACCCAATTTTGTCGAAAAACTATTTTGCTTAAAAATTCCAGTTTTTTCATAATTTTTTGTTGGTTTTTCCAATTGCTTTTGAAAACTACTAGGAATTCAAAATTTTGACCTACCGAATGCACCAACTAGATACACTTCCCCGCCGGAAAATATACAAAACACAGAAATTGAAAATTGAAGCATTATTTCGGCTACTCGTTAACAAATAAATGAAATAAACACACATCATTATAAAATCAATACATTCATCGCTTCCCTCAAAATCTAAAATACAAGAAAAACATTGAAGGTAATAACTAATAATTATACGGGGAAAGATTTTATTGCATTAAATGTACATATAACATAAACAGTTTCCAATTTTGTATTAAAACAATCCTATATTAATAATATGTTTCTCAGAATTAAAACGAGGTATAAGAAAACAGAAAGTGAGTATGCTAATAAAAAAAAAAACTGTTGACCAATTTATATATTGTTCAAGATGTGTTTATTTAGTTTATTTTATTATATTATTATCTACAATTTTAAAAGTTTATATTCTAGTAGGTACTTACATTAATTTCCATTGATATCCTACCCAACTGGCAACTAGCTATAATTGGAATAATCCTTCCAAATCCCAAATAAATAATAAGTAATATCATTAAACTTGACTTATAATTATTAATTTCGGTATAACAATATTGAAGGCAGTAGGCATTTAAACGTTTGTATAAAGATTGATTGAGATACCTGCAATCATTATAAATAACCCGCATAAATTTCAATAACATCATAGTATATAAAAAATTTTGTAAGTACTTTTTATGTAAATTTGTAAAATGTCCTTTTGTTTGTATTTCAAATATTTCGATACCAAAGTAAAAAATATATCAAGTAAATCGCATTTAATCGTGATCGGGTATTAGTAAATAATAGCTTATTTCACTTGAAGCTAAACAGCCGTCTCTTGTGAGCTAGGCTGACCCACAGCACTAAAACCCTGGTTACAATTCAAATAATTTAGTAAGATCTCTAAGGACTAAATGTCTAATCTACATATCTATATATTATCATGTAGGTGTTCGCCGAATCAACCAAATATTCCGGGGGAGCTTATTATGGCCTTAGACGGGTCATTCAATATTTCTACTCAAGTTTTTGAAACAAAACTATAATGAATGAGAAGTTTTTTTTCACAGTTTTTAATTTATCAAATGACTTATGAGTATGATATCTAATTAAGTAATAATTAACGTCTGACGTACATTCTATATCACTATAATCAGTTACAGTGGCGTTCTCGGCTTTTTTGAAAGAGGGGGATATGAATTTTTGACTATTCTGAAATTATGTTATACATTACACATAAACATTCATTTTTCTATCATAAATCTTATATGACAAAAATAAGCCAAAAAGGGGACGTATTACCTAATATGACACCCTGATTCAACCCCCTCCCTCTCCTTTGAGAGCATGCCCTTGATTAGTAATACCTCTTAATATTCTAATTAAAGTGTTTATAAAAATGTTGATTAATGTCGAGCGATATTTTAAATGGGTAGGTATACAATAATAGGTTAGGACGAGGGTATAGTAATGAGTAATGACTTATGGATATATTTATAATCAATGGTCGTCCATAAAATAGTAAAACTTTTTTAGTTAGCTTCTATTGGCCGGGTTACAATATAAGGCATAAAACAATAAGTCAATTATTTTAGTGTTTGAAAAGTTCACTTGAAAATTGAATTCGTTTCCGTTCTCGTTCAACAAAACGGAGTCATTTTATAAATCTTAAGATAAAACGTAGAATAAGGTTAAAAAAAATAGTTTTTCAATATTATGTTGTTATTTACATACCTAGAATATAATATCAATTTAATCTTATAAGATAGTACCTAACACATAACACCTATACATTTACAGTACAATTAATTATAAAATAAAATAGGTACCTACACATTTAATTTATTCGCCCTAAAAATCGTACAAGTTCCTTAAAAATATGAATTTCTTTCATGTTCATGTTCTATTATTTGATATTATTGCAATCTTTACGATACTGAGCGATGTTCACGTAATCACGTCTGGCTATCAAAATATTAACCTGAATAACACGATAAACGCGTGTTCACGAACCTGTACATTCAAAAACATTGTACTTCTCATTAAAGTATCATTATATTTTACAATACATTCTAAAGAATGATAATATTATCATTGACTTATAATATATATTATAAATTATATTATATTATACAGTATATGTTATCTAAATATCTTATATTATATTATTTATGTATATATATATATTTCTTTTTATATTAGAAATACAACGATAGCTCGGAATTACTTATATTTATCATCATAATATAGATTAGCTCTGACAAATATTTTTTTTTAAAACATCCAAATGTTTGATGAGTTACCTATACGAATAACGGTATCTAATCTTATAAGAACAATAAAATACATTATTGCTTTCAATTCATTTTTAATCTATTTTGAATTGAATTCTGAGTACCCACATACCTACATGTAAATACAAATTTACCTTACGAACTGAGTGCCTACTCTGAAAGTCTGATGATAAAATTTTATTTCGTTATTTTTCATAATTAAACAACTTTAAAAAAATAAACAACTATGTAATACATTTATAGTTTATACCTTATAGGACATTTAGGTACCTATTTACAATCGTAATTTGTAATATCGTATGTAATAACTAGAGGTCGGATTTATATTCTTTTAAAATCCTTAAAATATGATGTTTGTATGTCACATAAAATAAGCAATATATTCTCTTAATATTCCTTTAAAAT